GGGACCGTCGGCGACATAGAATCGGCGCCTTTCGTGGAGGCCATGCGGCAGTTCCAATTCCGGGTCGGTCACGACAACTTTGCACTTATCCATGTGTCGCTCGTGCCCGACATGCACGGCGAGCAAAAGACCAAACCTACCCAGACGACCATCCACTCTTTGCGCGGGCTGGGGTTGCTCCCTGACTTGGTCAGTCCGTTTCAAGGCATCATCTGAAGTAACAGTCTATTAACGCTGCATTTGAGATTGCCTGCAGACTAATGGGTCCAAAGCCGCTCCTACCAGCAACAAAAGAGAAGATCTCGATGTTCTGCCATGTCGCGCCGGAGCAGGTGCTTGGCGTGCACGACGTCTCCTCCGTCTACCACGTCCCGCTCCTCCTCCAGTCACAAGGTATCATCGACTATCTGCGCAAGCGGCTCAATCTGGATGCCCTGCAACTCACAAAGGAGATGATGCAGAAGGGGGAGAAGTTGCACCAACGCTGGAAGGATCTTACCACTGGGTATGTCATTTCTCCTCAACTTGACACTACAGACGCTCATGCGCCGCTACCAGCCAAGAACGGCTTTTCGACACCGTGTCGATCGCGCTGGTGGGCAAATACACGGATCTCAAGGACTCGTATATGTCCGTCACAAAAGCGCTGGAGCATTCCGCATTCCGCGTACATAGCAAACTCATCTTACACGCACGTTCTGCCCTTTATCCACGCACCCCGTCTGACTCCTACCTATCTCAGTGGGTCGAGTCGTCGGACCTAGAGCCGGAGACCCAAGAATCCAATCCTGCCAAGTACCACGACGCATGGCGAGCGGTGGTCGGTGCGAAGTACGTCCCGATTTTCTTAGGCGTTGGTGGAAGCTCATGTCGTCCTCAGTGGAATTCTTGTCCCAGGAGGCTTTGGCGTCCGAGGAACAGAAGGGATGCTACTCGCTATCAAGTATGCGAGGGAGCAAAAAGTCCCGTTCTTGGGCATCTGTCTTGGCTTCCAGCTTGCCGTGATCGAGTGGGCGCGCAACGTACTCGGGATTTCCAGTGTGTATACATCCCCGTTTCTAGTCCCGTTTACCAGGACCAACAATCCAATGCCAGATGCTACATCGTCCGAATTCCTCCTGGACACACCATCGCCCGTGGTCATGTTCATGCCCGAGATATCCAAGACGCACATGGGAGGCACGATGCGCCTGGGGCTTCGTCCCACCGTCTTCGAGCCGGGCACCGAGACGTGGTCGCGCGCACGCAAGCTGTATGGAGGCGCCTCGAAGATCTGGGAGCGCCACCGGCACCGGTATGAGGTCAACCCCGAGTACGTGGCACGCCTGCATGATAGTGGCCTCGTGTTCGCGGGCAAGGACGAGAAGGGCGAGCGTATGCAGGTGCTTGAGCTGCCTGGTCAGCCCTTTTTGCTGTCCTTGGTACCGCCACTTATCCCTGCGTCTACTCCCAGACCATCCATTCTTTATGGCACTCCAGGCGCATCCGGAGTTTTGCACGCGTCCGCTGAACCCGTCGCCGCCATTCTTGGGCCTGATCGCTGCGGCGTCTGGGCCAACGGTTTTCCAGGAGCAGATCGCTGTCCAGTTACGCACCTTCAAGCCCCCGCATCCCGAGGGTTCCATGGTCGCCGAGGCTCAGCTGAGGCTCGGCATCCCCGTTGCGCACGGCAAGGAAAAAATTCTGGTTAATGGACATGACAGGGCGGAGGTTGATGGCCAGTAGTGTCAGTTATGGCAGTCTGTCGGAGCGGTGTTGGTCCCCCAGTTATCTACTATCACCTTGATCTATAGAAGTCACCTCCATTTGTACCATCACTTATCATCCGTATCTCATCCACAAATGTAGCCCTATCCAAGAGTCGCTCAATTTTTTTTTGAATCGTTGCGCTGTGCCTTGTTTGGCAACGACCTCTGCACCCTTCATCTCCCTCTCAACCTCCGAGTCTCCCTAAAAAGCCAACAAGTGTAGTACGCTCCACGACCTCGATTTGGCTGCACCCTTGTTAGTCACATTCCAAGGTCCAAATGGTTTGGACACTCATGGCCCCCTGTTACTTACCTTCTTTCAAGTCCATATTCCTTGAACCGTCGCGTCAATCTTCTCTGGCTCAGTCACTGTCCGAAGCTTCCCTTGCGCTTTAGTGTGTAGAACACGCGGCGGCACGGCGTACGGTACTAGCCGTATCGGGACTTGTGATATTCCCGTCATCGTTGCACGTTTCTACCTCTCCAGCCGGAAAATGGGAGCTGCATGTGCAGCCTTCGGACTCCGAGCCGGCGCGTGTTCGAAATTCGCCTTCTCTTGTTTTTCGACCGTCATTTGCCTTGCGACTCGCCGAATTTGGCTTTATAGCCGTTTGGGTATCCTAAAGCGGGAGAGTGTGGGTGGTTATGGGTCCTTGTACTCTTTGTTCCTTATTTCCTTTGCTGCGCGTCCGTCTCACCGGTGCATCATCTCATTGCTGGGATTTTTTCTTGTACCGATTTGACTACGTATGTCGAAGATGCTTTTGCCCTCCGTCCGAAGGCATCGCTTTCGTTGTTTCGAAAGTCGGGTTGCGAAATCAATCGACGGACAGCCGACACTTACAAGGTTGTTCCCCATGGGTAACGACCACATTTCCGAACCTTCTTCTGGCTGGCAGGTGGTTCGACCTTGTTCTCCTTTTGGTAGACCAAAGACTTTGTTCCGGAAATTGCCGGATTTCGTTTTGTCCTGTACGCGATTGTGCTGTCGGAAATCGAGCTATATTTTGCTCAGAGCTCCTCGGTCACACGTTCTACGTTCATCGCCGCCCCATTTGTGCTTCCAGTCAGCTGCTTCGATGCTTGAGAGAGTTTCCATGTTGCCATCAAATGTGGACCACTATTTTCGAAGCGGATTTCCGGCTGATGTTTGTTGGTCTTAACGATTATGATCAACCTTGAGCTTTGGTCCCAGTTGCCCCAATAGGCCTTTGAAAGCTTTTCTGGGTGGCATACCCAGGCCCATTGTTTCCCGGGGGTCATATAAACGCCTCCGAGTCAAGAAGCGCTTGCCACCATCTCTTGCTCTGCTCCTGCTGTCTCGGTCTTGCTCTGCACTCTGCTGTCTTGTTTTCGATTCTCTCATCTCTCCAAGTCATGTCGCGCTCTCCTCCCCCTCCTAATCCTTCGGTATCATCTATAGACGGTCGCTTCTCTTCCGTGCCACCCTAATGCCTCCACTTCTGCAGATCGTGAACGCAAGTAACCTCCTGCCCTCCGTCAACGTCCTTTTCGACGAAGTTCTGCAACGCGAAAGAGCTAACTCCCAATCCTCTCCCGGCTCCCGTTCCCAGTCTGCCTGGTCGGGCTTCGTGAGTCGGGTTTCGCATAAGCATGCCTCTGGTTCACTGATGAATACGATCGGACAGCCTGGTCCAGAGAGGAATGTTATTGGGCGTGGAAACCCTGGTGTTCCTCACGCTCCACTGCCCCCTTTACAGGTTGGACGCCGTCCGCCACCTCAGGCTCGTGTCCGTTCCGTATTTTGATTCGTACCAAATCTGATATTTATACAGCCAGCAAATCGACCTCATTCTTCCCACCGGCCAGTAAGGATTGTGCTGTCATCCTTATCACGTTTCATTTTAATTCCCGGCTGCAGCCAACGGAGCCGAGGCATCTCAACATCGATTCCCAACACCAGGTTCCGGTATGTGCCTTTATCCACTCCTTCCCCTCGAAATTTTGACCTACTGTGGCCAGGTTCATGTTCCGGCCGCTATCCCGGTAATTCCGAACCGTATGGGAGGCAGGTACGCTCAAACGCCCTGCCATAGCAATGGCCAACCGCATGCGCCCGGTGTAAATTTCTTCCCTGCGTCGTAGTCTCGAGGGCCGACCTTATTTGATCCTAGTTGATGCCACAATCGGGTGTGAATCAAGCATCTCCGGTCCGCCACCGCCAGCCACGACCCTCAACTGTGCGTTCACGCCTGTTTTATAATTGCCTTCACTGTTACTAATTCGGTTCTCAGTCGGGAGCGAGACATGGTCACAATACCCGCAGTTCTGTTCCAATCAATACGGAGACATCGGCCCAGGCGGGCATGCGAATCTTCCAAGAGCTTATGCAGGCCGCCGGGAATCCCGAGTGCTTTCACTGCATTCACGACGTCAAGATAGAGAGTCGGCGTCAGGTGGCGGGTAGTCATGGTGCTGTCTTCTCTCAGTACGCACATGGCACAAAACCTCAACACGCGACCTCTCTTCCGGCTGTGGAGGGCCTGATTAATATCCCATTTACTCCGAAACCCATCAGTAACCAGACACTGCACGGCGTCTCGCTTACGGAGATCCTCGATTTTCGCGATGTCTTGGAGGACCCGCGTGAACGGGTTTTAGACAACTCGTTGAACAAGATTTATCTCACAATAGAGGTCGGCTTCGCTCTCTCATTTACTACTTTGCTCATTTTTGACAGCATCCTGGATACCCTTCTGTGGTTAAACAAATATCGGGAAACTGTCCGCATCGACCTGTCTCGCGTTTCAACCTCGCATTCAGCGTGGCTGAAGCGTATTACTCTTACTTCACGGTACGTGCCGTTGCTTTCTTTTCGTCGCACTCTCACCAATATCATAATATCCAAAGTCAAACCAGTTCAACCCCACAACAGTCCCCCCAGTTGCCATCGTTGTCCGCTCTGTCACGCAGATTCGTCTCGTCAATCTATACACGACGGACAGGACGAACTTCCGGGCCCATATCGCCTATGTATTTTGAACATCTTTCCTTTGCTTAAAATTGCTTTCCGTTTTGCTCTCTACTGCTGTCTTTCTGCTGTGTGTATTTACATCGCTATCGAATATTTATCCGGTTGGCATGTGCAACTCTCAGGTCCATAAAAATATTGCAGCGGTCCGTTTTTCGGCCGATGCCGGAATCTGTATCAGTGGACTTAGTGCATTTAAGAAGGTCCTCCTTGAGACATGCTAAAATGATGTTATATACATTCAAAGGAAAGGCTATGGCTCCGGCATGGTGTAGCGGTAACATAGGTGCCTTTCAGTGATTTCTGTCACGTGATATGATTCGCACTTGCCCGGGGTTCGACTCCCCGTACCGGAACTTTTTTTCGCATGTTGTTTCTCCACCTTTTGGTGAAACCAGTGGCGCGAGTGTTACAATCGTATATTCAAAATTCCAAGAAACCGAATTTACCGCTACACCATGCCGGAGATACCATGGCTTAGCTTTTATGAACCACGTCGGTAACACCGTATTGGTTCCCCCAACCGCCATATCCCGCTAGCGTATGTTACCACTACACCATGCCGGAGATACTACAGTCTGCTTTTATGCACTATGTCGGTAAAACAATATTGCCTCACCATGCTCTCCTGGCACGGCCATCTCCGATGGAGTTATCGATCAAGGTACACTCAGTGACGAGGAGATCTAGAAGTAGTTGAACAATAGGGCAATAACACGAGATGTAGAACGCACAAACCCTCATCAGATAGATTACAGTAGAAAAATCATAGAAATAGACATCTAATACAGGGAGAAAAAAGAATAATGATATCAAGAACGTGCTATGCGGGTCGTGTACAGATGGCAATGCTAAAGAGAGAAACAGTCCAGTGTCCAAACAAAAAAATGTCCTTGCTATTTCCAAAACGGATTTCGCGAAGTGGAGGTGGGTACCGGCGGTGCGCGCGTCGGCGTCAGATAATACGCGTCAAGGGTGCTTCCATCTGAAAACCGCGATGCGACAGTGATGTCCCGCGCTGACGAGCGGAGGGGCTCCCTTGGCTCGGGGACGCGGTGCGGCATGCCCGTCACTTGCGAGTACAGCGATGGCGCCGACAGGGTGCTCGCAGAGTCGTGTCGGTCGTGCCCGGGAGATTGAAACTGGTGTTGGTGGTGATGATGGTGGTGCACCTCCGCCCGCGGGTACTCGTACGACGCGAGCAATTTGTCCATGTCCCTCGCATCCCGCGCCTCCTCCGCCGCACGCATCTTGGACATCTTCACCGTTTCCCCCTCCCCTTCGATGGGATCCAGCTGGGGCTGCGCACGCCGGCTCTTGCGGTGTCCGAAGAGCTTCTCGCCAAAGCGCAGCAGCCGCCAGCGCCACCCAACAGGGTCCAGTTTTCTCTGCGCCGCGAACTGCGCGGTGCGCTGTGCACGCTGCTTGCGCGCACGGCGGCGCCACAGCCACACGACGACGAGGAATATGAACGCACACCCGAGGGCCATGAGGAGGATCTCCCACCACGCAAGCGGACGCTTGGACGAGGACACGGTGGTCGGGGCGTCAATACCCGTCGCGCTGGGGAGGGGTGATGCGCCGGGCTCGGTGGCGGTGGCAACGTCGACGAGCTCGGAGAGGCACGCGCCGAGGCCGGGAACGACGCTCGAGGACTGCTGGCACGCCGCAGCGACGCAGGTCCCCGCGCGGAGTACCTGGGCGTCGCTAGCGCAAGCGAGACATTGACTGGGGCCTGACCCGGAGCAGCTGGAGCAGCTTGAGTCGCACGGGAGACACGTTGGCGAGGTGGGGTCGAAGAATTGTGTCTTGCTGCAAGTCGGGAGACAGCGGCCATTGGTGAGCACGGGCCGGGACGACGAGCAGGATGAGCACTGGTTGAAGGACGCGCCGGAGCAGGAGGCGCAGTCCGGGTGGCAGGTGAGACACGACCCGGTGGAAGAGAAGGTGTTTGATGGGCAAGTGGCAACACATTTGCCCGCAGCGGCAAGTTGGTTGGAGGCGCACGTCAGGCAGAACGTAGCCGAGCCCGTGCATGTGGTACACGAAGAGTCACACGCTGCGTGAGGGGGGTCAGGAAAAGTTGGATAAGCACAAAAAGAAGGCACGCACCAGTACAGGTCAAATTATCCTGCGGCGATACGAATGTGCCAGAAGGGCAGCTGGCGACACAGGCTCCATTTGAGAGGAAGAAGCCTGGCACGCAGCCCGTGCATTGCAACTGATTGACCGTCGAAATGGCACTGAAATTAGGAATCTTGCACGAAGTGCATTTCGCACCGCAGCCTGAATGAATCCGTCAGCGAAATCCTCGCGACAGAAAAAAGAATAACGCACTATCGCACTCGAGCTTGTCGTTATCTGCGATCAAAGTGGACCCCGCACATACACCATTCGCGTCCGCAGAGACGCACGCGCCGTTCAGCAAGTATGTGCCCGCCGCGCACTGGACGCAATCGTTAGATGTGCCGGCCGTGCACGTCTTGCACGACGGTGAACACGCCGTGCAATTCGTGCCGTCGGAGAATGCTCCAGCAGGGCACACCGTCCCGGACGACGTGACACTCTGCGGCGGGTCGCACTTGGTACGGTCGTTCGCATCCTGCGTGAAGCCCGTCTTGCACGTTGTGCATACACCGGTCCCGTCGGTGCATGCGGTGCACCCAATCTGGCAAACTAGAATCGAGGTTAGCAAAAGGAAACGAGGGGAAACTTGAAGAGAATACGCACCAGAGCAGTCCCCCGCGGACGTAAGGAAAAAGCCCGGCGCACACTGGCTACACGCCGTCCCGTTCGCCGCGGTCGTGAACCCATTTGTGCAGGTGCAGCTCCCATTGGCACCACACACTCCGTTGACGCAGTTGCACGTCGCGGGTGCGCCGGCTGGCGTCGAGACAAGGCAGCGGCCGCTCCCCGTCAGACCGTCGTCGCACTTTGCGCAGCCACTCGGACACGCAGCGCATCCGGGTCCGAAGAATCCTGCTGCGCAGTTCTCGCACGACGCGCCCGTGAAGCCCGCCGCGCAAGTGCACGTCCCGGCGGCGGTACAGATGCCCGACGAGGCGCACGGAGGCGAACATGCAGCGGACTCGATGTCAAAGAGGGTGAGGGTGCTAGGCGCGCTCGTCGGGAGCTGCGAGATATCGGGGATGGAATCCCAGACGATCACACGGGAGTTTGCGGACGCGGGAGAGTTGACAGCGATCCAGACACTCGAGGACAGGGCGAGAGAGCGGAGCGTCAGCGGGGTAGAGGTGTTGGCTCCGATCGGAGCGCTGGGAATGGAAGTGAAGGCGGGCTCGCCCGAGTAGAGTGGCCCAGAGTAGATGGACAACCCAGGTTCTTGGGCCACATTCAGAGGGAGAGCAAGGGAAGTGGAGGATTTCTTGAATCCCGGTGAGGATGACAAGGATGCGGATGAGGATGTGAGGAGGTTGTGGAGAAGTTGTGGATTAGTTGTAGAGGTGTATTGTCCCGGAAGTAGGAGGGCCGACGGAGACCCAGGGACTGATATTGTGACGCCGACTAGACGCGAGTTCAGCAATGCGCTTTCGCAGAGGATATGGAGACGCACGAGTTGTGTTTGAATAACCTTGAAGACATTGGCCTGCAGTGCAGACGATAGCAGAAGTGTTGGATGCCGCCACTGAAAGGAGATTAGCTAGCGCACGAAAGCTGCAGAGGAATCTACACTCACGATTACTGACGGCAAAGAGGGCAGGGAGGACGAACATCGGTGGCTCGTCGTGAAATTACGGGGGATGGTCGTGGTACGGGAGAGAGAGTGAGAGAACAACGTTGCCAACGGCGCAGGGAGTCAATGGCGGGCTCGGGCATTGTGGCACGCATTTCCAGCAGCTATTGTTCTTCGAGTGGTCACGGCACGCGGTCCGCAGGGCCAAAGGTTGTCCATTGTGCGAGAACAATGGGATTTTGATCTCGTCCATTTCAGGTCGTGTATGGCCCGAAATTCTCCATTATCCTTGCATAGTGGCGGTGCGGAGCATAGCCGAGGTTAGTGAGGGGGGCAGAATTGATTTTGGGTTGACCTGCCAGGCAGATGGCAAAATGGCAGGGCAGAATTGTGGCAGAATACGGCAGAATATGGCAGATCAATTATTTAAAATTTGCCCCCGAGTCCATCTCTGAGTCGTCTCAGCTCCCAATATTGAAATGTGCAGGCCAGTAGTACTTTCATGACCCAAAATAACACTGAAAACTCACTCAAGAAATATTTATCAAGGCAAGTCAGGGTTTCGAGGACCATTGGCACAGTACATGTACCATTTAGTCAAGCCGAAAATACAGTTTCTGTGAGATGATGGCCTTGAATTGCAGTGAAAATTGATCTGAGCAATATGTGACATCTGGAATTGGCCTGGGAGGTATGAAAGTCGTCTGAACTTGGCTGAAATCTCGTGTTTCTACCTTGATTCTGCCGGATTCTGCCAGACCCATCCCACCTCTGCCATTCTGCCTGCCATTCTGCCCTGCCAATTGGCAGTTCGGCAGAGTTCTGCCCACCACACTAGCCGAGGTATGCAGGAGCCTGAGGAGACAACCAAACTGGCCATTTGAGTTCTCGTGGGACCAATTTGAAGGATTATCGCAGGTCGTATGGACGGGAGTGAAGGGGCGGTGCAACTCGGTTCAAGGGGTCCTCCAGCTTGAATGGACGCCCAGAGCATAGAAAAGACACAGGATTGATCATGAGTCGACTGCAAGGCGCTGTTGAGACGGCGGAAAACAGAAAATCTTTGAACAATAGAGTTTGATGCTTGTCACGTGATGCATTCCAATTGGGGAATTCACCTCTTTGCAAGCTCAAAACGGGTGGACCAAAATCCCTAATTATTTTGTGTGTTTTGAGCAAGGGTAAGGGACATGATAATGTACGCGTAATATAAATGAAGAAAGAAAACAAATCTATCGCAGACCGTAACTGCCAGACCTTGAGTCCCCTCGTCCACCGCCAAAGCCTCCAGAGGATTGACCTCGGCCACCGCTAAAGCCACCAGACGAGGACCTTGCGTCCCCTCGTCCACCGCCATAACCGCCTGAACTACCTTTCCCATACCCACCCCCGTTGCGTGAATAACCACCTTCGCCACTGCCGCCTTCGCCGTTGTAGGCAGGTTCCCGGCCCCGGTAATGCCCGCGAGGCTCAGAAGTATACCGACTCCCCTGTCGCTTCGGGTACCCGTTCCCAGCCGATTGGTACCGCGTCGACCTGTACTCGCCCACATCCACATTCTCCTCCTGTTGGATCTCCTCAGCCGCCTCCCACCCCGGCGTCTTTTCCAGACCGCGGTTCCTGACCGTCCCGCGTCCTATCCACGGCGCCGAGTTGGATGAC